ATAGGTAATATGGAAATAGGGCAAAAGAAAGGACGCGCGCTGATGACGGCGCAGAGATACAACTATTCGTGCTTGATGGATGTCCGTGTTGTATCTGCAAAATTGAAGGCGCGCAAGCGCGTGGCATAACCTCGCGATGCTCCGCAGCTTCGCTCTATGCTGCCAATGATGTGTTGTCCAGATTCGCGAGAAAAGTTAAAAAAGAGGTCCGATCGCGTCTCTCCTATCTTCGGATGTGTTACTCACGTAACCTTTGAAGCATCACTACGAATGAGACAAACGGAAATAAACATAGGTAATATGGAAATAGGGCAAAAGAAAGGACGCGCGCTGATGACGGCGCAGAGATACAACTATTCGTGCTTGATGGATGTCCGTGTTGCATCTGCAAAATCGAAGGCGCGATGGCGCGAGGCGTGAACTTGCAATGCTCCGCTATCCTCTGCCAATGTGATGTCACTTAGATTCGAGGAAAGGTTAAAAAATAGGCCCCAATACCAGTCATTTTTGTCATTTTACCTCAATTTTGAGTAGAGGAAACTGCTTGCAAGAAAAGAAGAAAAAATTAGGACCGTGTACGTTTCTAGATCTCAGAAACCACCCAGAATTGAAGAAGCACAAATTCCAAGGAAAATGATAAACTTCATTTTTCGGCTTTTTTCACCCTGAAATGTCTCCTTCTTGAAAATTTCGCCCAACCATAAAATCAATTCACGCGGTTGTATATCTCGCACGCGCCAGATACCCATTCATTGAATAATTTGTAAATCTAATCGATCCTTTTGATTCTAGTGATCCTTTTTAGTCATTCGATGTATATCACCCTTGAATTGCTAAGCACGTTTTTTAAAAAAGGGGACATGATAGAGATAAAACAGTTCATTTGTTTTGAGTAGAACGGCTGAATAATCTAATATCGACTGAGGTAGATACTAAATCAGTCTACATACCTAAGGAGAACATTACCTCAGCAAAAACATTACCTTAGCAAGCACCAGGTTGCGCCAGGAGCAAGGCTGTCGGCCAAGACAACAGATTAAAGCGAGTGATCCGATTAAAAGCGACCACGATGACACACATGCTTATTGGATTTATGTTTATTCTGTTCGTTGTTGTCGTAGGTCACCTCAAAATTGGCAGTTTTTCGCATTGCAAATACGGACAGGAGCTGATTTGTCATTAATGTCGGGCTGTCGTCATTTCTCCGACGGCTAATTCAATTTTGAGCTCATCTAGAATTTACTACCTTCTCGAGAATGTTACATGATGTTGGAAGTATGAATTTTTCCCATGAAAATAACAAGCTCTGCCTTTAATTGGTTTTGCGATTCGCGGACATTGTACTCCGTTGTGAGCAAGCCTCTAAGTGTATACATTTCACATCTAGAATGCATCTCGGTTCACTGAAAAAAAAATTCTTGGCGTTTATACCAAGGTCCGTTGGTACCTTTACCATTACCATCTCACTTTGTTTACCAATTATTGGTAATTTTACCAAGATAGACTGGTAAGCTTACCTAAAAACCGGTATTCTTACTGTTTTTTTCAGGTAAGAATACCACTTTTATTGGTAATCAATTCCCGGTAACTTTGCCATTTTATCCCGGTAATTTTACCACAGTCGATAAAAAATATTGGCATTTTTACCAAGGTCAAATTACCGAGAAAGTTCAATAATTTTACCGAGATTTTTTTGTAAAATTACCAATTCCATAGATGGTAATTCTACCAAGAAAAAACTGGGATCAAATAGAACCCTGAATTCTGGGTAATTTTACCCTTTTCTCAGTAAATACACCGAGATTTTTTTTTCAGTGAGTGATTGGCGTTTTCGAGTATGCCAATGACAATCGCGTGTGCGTTGGAAAAAATTAATGAGCCTGCGCGGCAGTTTTGAAATATGCAATTCCAAAAATTGCAATCTACTTCAGACTCTATTGGGTCGACGTGCTGTTTTCCGCGATATCGTATTATCATTTCCGGTATATCGTATTAGCGATCACCGTCAACAATCTTGGGCTTAAAGAAGTTTTTAGGATGAAAAAAACCTGCAAGGATCACCTTCAACTTCAGTCCAATCACATAGTTCGGCGCATTTACTCAGTTTTGAAACCAATTTTGTGCATAACATATGAAAAAACCTATGCATCCTAGACCTCTACTATGGCACAGTTACTAACAAGAACACTGCCGTGCTAAGGAATAACGCCTTATGAACATTTGAGAGTTGTCAAATTTCCTTCGTTAAAATGATTATTGTTGAGGAATCTCATGAATACTTTTCCTTGAAATTTTCAGGAACTTTAAGTGAAATTGCGAAAAAAATCATCTGAAAACTTGGAAGAGAAACATTCGTAGATTCACTAGGAAATTCGAGTTTTATCAAAAGAAATTGGGCAACGCATGAAGCTTCGTACGGCGTTTCTCCTTAGCAAGGCAGAACAGAAGGTGGTATAACCGTTTGGCAACAGCCCCATCTCCTCTCAGCCTGAGTCACCGCCATTACTTCCACTTTAAAGATCTCTTCTTCCATGTTCGGCGTCACCAAGGGGCCAGGACAATCTTAGATTTTCCCCAGCCAATAATTTGCAGCGTTCTCGTCGTCATTTCAGGTGCTTTGTACCGGTTCCTGGAATGATTCAACTGACGAGCGATATATCGCATCGAATATGTGAAAAATCTCGGCAGAATTTGGATTTTCAGCCAAAGAAGGACACCGGTCCTTGCGCATAAGCTTAAAGAATCATTCACAACCAAAAAATTGGAATCATTTAAACCTTTACAAGTTTAATTTTGAGTCGCGTTATAACTGCTCGTAATTAGCTCAGAGACTTCCATGATAGTGTATCCGGTGTTTATGCTCTCTCAATAAAGGTATACTGTCATCCGAAGCAATGAACTACCCTGGTAAAAATTGGCAGTAGAATGTGTGTTCCAAAATACTATATACCTAAAGCCGGCTGTAAGATTTCCAATAGCTTCTGCAGCCGGCTGTACAATTTCTTATAACCTATGATAGCCGATGGCGGCTAAGCAACAGCCAGACGATAAAGTTTATGCTAAACGTTACTAATTACGGATACTAGGACCTAGTTAGTTTTTGGACTACCGCTCTCTTTTTGTGCCGTAGTATCTTGATTTATTTTGCGAGGAAAGCTCCGTACTTTTGAAGGATGCCTGGCATCCTTAATATGTTGGAGCGCCTTCAATTTCTTATGATACTGTGAAATACCTCTGGTGTGAAATAGTTGCTTCAGGCCGTGGCACGCTGCGGCGCGGCGGGCGGGCAGAGAGCGCCTACAAACCTAACAGGGATACTTCACGCATTGCGCAATGCGTGAAGTATCCCTGTTAGGTTTGTAGGCGCCAGTGCGTCGCCGCTCCGCTTTGTGTTCGGCTCTAACATTTAATCTCGCGGAGTCAGCGTTTTTCAACTCATGATTTTGAAACGTTTGCACATTCTGTGTGGACTATTCTCATTTTAATTGATGAAAAAAAAATATGTTTTAAAGGAAAATATAAAGTGTGTTCTGTAAATATAAAGGTAGTTCCGTATCAAACTAAATGATTTCCAAAGCACACGAATTTCTACACAATTTCTTTTAGCCTTTTATAGCCAATGGCGATAAATTATAAAGCCCGTCGATAGGAACTATAGTCCGAACTGTATACTTTTTTATAGCTTCGTATAGCCCGGCTATATGATTTGCTCCGCTCTCTACAGTCAGCTATATGAATTTCAATGGCCTTCTTTAGTCGGCTTTAAGAACTCCTATGGTATTTTGAAACGCAGATAATATCGGCAATTTTTACCAGGGTAGGGAGTACATATTGAGAGTACAGACACCGGCTCTTACATATGGAGATCATAAGGATGGTAAAAAATTTATGGCGACTCTTGATGAGAGGGAGTTGTCGTCAACCTTTAATGTTTATCACCTGATACACCTATTACGAACCTTGGAGTAAGTAATAGATGTTCAGGTTGAAAAGGTTTTTCCAGATATGATACTCAAAACTCGTCCCGCAAAAACTGAGCAACTACCCCTGACTGTGTATTTGACTATAGTCTAGGATGACACAACCAGCTAAAATCTCAATTCCTGCATTTCCGAATCTCCAACGTCAGGCGTTGGCCATTTTTCTTTAAGAACTCAACAAAGCCGAAGATTACTGAGCCAATCAGAAGTAGATCCTGACCATACTCTGCCTCGGAAAATACTTCCCAGACCACAAATATCGCAACAGTTAGGTATGCGGTACGGGTCCACTCCAACTTGGGGCGGGGTATCTGGACCTATTAGGGGTACATGCGCCTGGTGGGTAGGCAGCATGTTTTACGTAGAGGCGAACTCTCCCATAAAAGTGCGAAGTCTTATGCGGTATGATTGAAAGGTCCAGTTACACGATCAAACTGAGTCATCAAACTGAAGCTCCGATTGGTGGAAAAAGACCTGAGGTGAGGATGCGACCAATGAGAGGCCCAATTTGATGGCTCAATTTGATCGTGTGACTGGACATTTAGGCGTTTTTTATGGGAGAGTTCGCCTCTACGTAAAACACGCTGCCTACCCACCAGGCGCATGTACCCCCTAACAGGTCCAGATACCCCGCCCCAAGTAGGAGTAGGCCCGTGCCGCATTTCTAACTGTTGCAATATTTTCGGTCCACTGGAAAGTAATTTCGTAGGTAGAGTATGGTCAGGATCTACCTCTGATTGGCTCACCAGCCCCTGGCTTTATAGAGTTCTAAAAGAAAATTGGCCAACGTCTGACAATCGAAAATGCAGGAATTGAGATTTTAGCTGCTTGTGTCGCCCTAAACTACAGTAAAATACACATTTAAGGGTAGTTGCTCAGTTTTCGCGGGACCAGTTTTGAGCATTATATCTGGAAAAACCCTTTGGTGGAAAAACCTGGAAAAACCAGGCGCATGTACCCCTGACAGATCCAGATTACCCCGCCCTAACCGCATATCTAACTGTTACAATTTCTTCGCAGTGGACAGAGGATGGAGTGACGCGAGTGGCAACTACCATGACGTCACAATTGAGGCAGGACGTTGACGACGCGCCGCAGAGGAAGGACCTACCGCAAAGCAAGTTGCATGATGCAATTCAATAAAGCCTCAGGAGCGGCGGTGGCGGTGGCGTTTCGGCTTGGATGGGGCCGAAAATAGGAGATGATCGAACGGCGAGTGATAAGGGGAGACGGAGAGGAGGCACCTCGGCCTCGGCGGCTGCAATCTCCGGACGATGCGTCGAAGGGACCGAAGGTACCCGAAAGAGGGCGGCGGGATAATTGAGCGTTCAACGGAGTGCAGTGACGTCACCCGTCCCGCCGGAGTCACCCTCTCCCCTCCGAAAGCTACTCCAATGCCACCCTCTCGTAAAGCTCCCGCCCCGAGCTGCACAATCTATCGATCAACGCTCCTCACTCTAGATTTTTTCACGACTAGTCCTCTTTCACTTTCTTCCACCCTCTCCTCCTCACTCTCACTCCTGTCCGCTTCCCTCCCCCTCGCCCCGTCTCGCCTCGTTTTGTCTGTCCCTCTCCCTCGACCGTCCGTTAGCGCACCTTCCTTCCTTCGCACCTCGTTTGCTAATCAGCTTGCCTCTCTTTTCATTAACTCTTGTCATTTTATTTCCCCGACACCCCCCCCCCCCCCCTTTCGAGGAGAAAAGTATCCGAGAAGGAAGTCATAACCTCGCTACTAGCTGATAAGTTACCCGCGCCACTCGAAGCGGGGTTGCTCGGCCTCCGCGTCTACGCTCCTGTTTTATCGAAAAGAGTATACTGTCGTGCTAAGGAAGAACGACGTATGAGCTTTTAGACGTTGCCAGATTTCCTTCACTAAAAACCGAATTTATTGGGAAGATTTTGAATATTTTTTTCCGAATTTTTCAGATAATTTTATTCGCAACTTGATCTAACAAATCCGAAACTTTAACGGGAAAATATGCATAAATTTTCTTAAAAATACATGTTTTAACCGGATAAATTTGGCAACTCTCGGATGTTCATACGGCGTTATTCTTTAGCACGGCAGTATAGTAAGTATGTGCAAACATGAAGACAAGAGGAAGTGGGTGTAGTTGCGTCCGAGCGGAAAATTTTATCCAACGAATCCACCGTTTTCCGTAAAATAATTCGTCACCTTCCGGCCAAAGTATCACAAGCGCCATGCGACATTTCATAATAGCCGCCGCCGTTTTATTTTTTCACAGAAAAATTGTTGGTTGAATCTGTTTGAAAATTTTACTGAATTCAATCGAGCACAAAGAAAATTCAGCGAAATTTTCGGACAACTTTGTTGAACAATTTTTGGTCGCCTAAGACTGGTTGCAGGGACGGGACTAAAGCGCAAGGATTAGCCCTTGTGGGCTACTTGAAGTAGTAAAAAAAAAAGAAAAAAGAAATTCTCTGTACAAAAATAAAATGGCAGCGAACATTTTTAAACGTTGCACGGCGCTTGTGAGACTTTCGCCGGAAGGTGACGATACTGCCGTGCTAAGGAAGAACACCGTATAAAAATTCGAGAGTTGCCACATTTCCTTCGATAAAATGTTTCACTGGAAAAAAAACACATTGGATCTAGAGTCCAGACTCTTAAAAACATCGACAAGAAAAAGTACTCTTGATTCAATCAGAATCTAGCTTAAATCAAGAACCAGGCCTCTTAATTTAAGCGGATTTCCTTTTGATTCAAGCAAAATTATTATTACGATTATTTTTCTTGTCAATGTTTTCAAGAGTCTGGATTCTAGATCCAATGTGTTTTTTTTTCGGTGTTATTTTTTAGGAATGAAATGAATATTCTCCCTCTCGAAACTTTCTGGAACTTTGGCGGTGTCGAGATTGCGTACAAAATTATCTAAAAAATCGAAAGGAAAATATTTATGAATTTATCCGAAGATTCGTGTTTTATCAAAGAAAATTTGGCAACGCCTGAAGTTTCATACGGCGTTTTTCCTTGGTACGGCAGAATATGTGCATTACTGCTCGCCGCGGCACGATGCATGGCAGCACGGCACTGCATGGAGGATGCGAGATTTGACGGGGATTTGACAGCGCGGCGGGTAAAACGACTTTACATGGAGCAAATTGGTCAATTTGTCTCGTTTTACGGGTCCTTTCACCGAACTTGATCCGCGAGACCGGCAGCCTGATAATACGGAGATAGGTTTCAGGGAATCATTAATCAGTGCCCTTTTTTCTCCTTCCCTCCATCTGCGTCTTCGCGTGTCCGATCTCCCTCTTCCAGTCGTTCTCCTGACTTTTCACCATCGATTCCTCTCTGCGGTTCATTTTCGTACGTCATAATACAAGGATCTTCCATTTCCCGCGCCGTCACGCGACCGAACTCATGCCGTATTTCTTCTCATAAAATATGAGTTTTCTTCGAGAGGAGCCGTTCATAAAATACGCAGCGATATAAGTAAAAGACCTTTATACGGGAGAATGTGGCCACTGCGTCTCATGGAAAGCATTAAGACCCAAAAAACTGACGAAGACTCCTATTGGAAGTACTAGCGTCAAGAAAAAATGGCGCACAGTGGATCGAGTCAATGGGAGAGGCCGGATAAAATTCGGAAAATTTACCAGCTTATAAATCCGTTTATACAAAATGTTGAGGTTCTAAAAGTGGTTCCTTTGGTTTCCTCGTAATATTTTCTTCTCGGAGCACCACTTCAAACTTAAAATGTGACGAAATTAACCTCAAAATTTGGAGATTTTGTAAAAATTGTACGTCCGACTTCTCTGATTGACTCGATCCACTGTGCGGAGTATGATCATTTGAGAGTTGCCCACTTTCCTCTAATGAAATTGTCATTTCTAATGGGAGGTATGGCATTTTCAGATAATTTGGATATGATTGCGAGTGAAATTCTCTGCAAAAGTGGAGAAAAAATATTCACGGCTTTCACTGAAAATACATATTTTATCAAATGAGATTTTGCAACGCCTGAAGACTCACATAGCTATGGCATGGCATATAGGCGGCAGGCTGAGATGGGGTTGTTGTTGTTGCCCACCTTTGACGCTCATCCCCTGCTGAATGATGTTCCTTGTATCAAGCCTGTCATCGTGGTGGTTCAAGTTGATTTTTTTGTTCCTAATATAATGCAAAAAATTGGTTTTAAAACTGAGGAAATATGCCTAAGTAATTTGCCGATAAAATCCTGCGACTAAAATCCCACACGACAAAATCCCGTATAAAAACGTCACGGAGGAAAATCCCGCGTCTGAAAACAAAGGCTCGATGGATCAGTTGCGCTGGTCACCCCTGGTAAAAATGTTCCATGCGAAATTTGCATGGAAATCAGCCGCATGGAAAATTGAGACGGAAAAATTTCCATGCGCATATGGCATGGAAAATTGGGACGGAAAAATTTCCATGCGCATATGGCATGGAAACTAACTTCATGGAAATCAGCCTCATGGAAAATGTCAAGCAGGGTGGTCGGGGAAAAAGAGGCACCCCAAAGGATTATTTAAGGTAATAATTTTCGAAATCGTGAAAAATAAAATGAAATGAGCTATAGAATTGTGTTTTGATGCTTGATTCTTGTAAATTAGCTAAAAATAATGAGATCTGTCCAAACAGCAAGTTCCTACGATCAATATGAACAGCCTTTGAAAAGTCGCACGGTTCGTTTGAGTAAAGGTTATATGAAATTTTCTATCACTCAAAAAGTCTTTTCGGATTCAAAAAGTAGAGTGAAAATGGAGTCTTTCTAGCTAAGATTGAAAATAGGTTGTTCGAGCTCCTGAAGAAATATATCGTTTTTTATATTTTTTAGGGCTTATTAGAGGCTGATACGAAAATTGACTCAAAATTAATCAATGTTTCTGTTTTAATTTCTAAACTAAGATAGCTATCAAAATGATCTTGGTTTCATTTTAAAGCTGGTGTAATTTGCCGTCGATTGAGTGGTCTGCAAGCTAATTTTGTCAAAAATTGACAAAGTTATGATAGCTTGAATAAAGGGTATCCAAAATAAGCTTACTTGTTTTCCTTACCGAGTAAGGCTCTATTTTTTCTTCTTTTCCCTTCAAGACCAAAAACACTAGAGTCAATCTGAAAAAATGACAGCATTTTTAGTACTCTCAGGTCTGTAACGAGCGTCAGATTTTTAAATTTGACCCGTTAGTTCCGGAGAAAATCAATTTTTGGTTTCTGTTCCGTTCCATTTTCGATCCAATGCTGTAAGCGGCCAAACTATTCACTTTTCAAAATCTAAAAGTTTCCTGAGAGGAGAGGTCAATNCGTCGGGTTTTTGACGTCATTCACCGCGGTCGTGACACCCTTGGTTTCTTCCTCTTTTGTTTGATCAAAGGTGCAGCTGCAGAGGGCGCAACGCGAAACTTCAATAACATTAAACGTAGTCAAACTCAAGAAACAGGCGAATTCGCACTTCAAGGATCTTCTTAATTATTAGATAACGCACTCGACGCAAAGATATTAGACGGTCAGTCAGTTCACCACAATATTGTTTATGTTAAATGTCGTTTAAGTTCCGCGTTTATTCCTTGCATCACTGATCGAACAAAAGAGGAAGAAACTAACAGTGTCACTACCGCGGTGATCAAAACCCCGACTTTGCAAAGCGCGATATCTCGGTTGATATTGAACGTAGGAAGTTGCTGATTGGAGAACTCAGAGATCTTATTATTTTTAACCAATCTACAAGAATCAAGCATCAAAATACGATTGTAGGACCAGCGTAACAGACCCTTTGTGTATAAAATAATAAAAAGAAAATCAAAAAGAGAATAGGTGCCTCCCATCTCGCTAACTACTTGGAACGATTTGCGCCCATGCATAGTCGTTGTCGCGGGAAATTGAAAGTAAGGGCGCCTTTATATTATTAAACGCAACACGCTCATCCATCGAGCGCGAATAGTTGCAGCTCGGTGCCGTTGTCCGCTACGCATCTGTTGACCGAGGATCCGTCTGAAAGTGACTCGTCCTTTTCTGTCCTCAATGGATGCAAAAAGCGTGGGTGCAAGTTAAGATAACGCATAATTTCCTTGATGAAATAATCTTAGTAATTTCCAACATTTGAAGAGAGGAGCTCTTCATATGCTTGGAGCGGAGCTCTAAATATAGGTGTTTCTCGAACGCTAGATTGCGACAGGTATAATAATCGAGGGGTTTGGAGGACAAGGCATAAAAGTGCGGTTTTTGGTATTTTGGGAAACACGTGTTTGAAGTTTCGAAATTAAATGGATCCTCATGGCGGAAAGAAAATTCAAACTGACTTTTTGATGCTTAAAAATTGGAATTGGGGAGTGAATTTTTCGCAGAAGCAGCACTAAGACTAATTTTACTTAAAATAATTAATACCTCGATTTTTTCAAAAACTGCACCTATGCGCCTTGTCCTTTATGCCCCTCAATTACTTTACATTTCACAAAAACTTCAACAAGAACACAAAATCGTGAGTGATCGATGCAAATATAATTGCAAGATTTATTGAGTGTTTCAAACTTTCATATCCAAACTTCGCGTTTTTTGCACATAAAAAAGAGGGGAGCACTTAAATACATATTTTAATTAAAAATTCATCTACTGCAGGGCTTTTGCATTTCATTGTAGTTGTTTCTAACCACAAATGTGTACGTGTCAAAACATGTGTCAAGCAGCAAAAATTTTTTAAAAAAAAATAATATATTGTTACCTGCTTGGTGATGCCAAGAAAAATTTCCTCAAAAAACTCTAACACTTGACTTTTAAAGAATAATTAAAACGCTAACACCTTCCAGAATCAGATGGAAATTTCCGTCACAGACAGGTTTTTTTCGGCGCGCACAACACGTTTCTGCCTTTAACAGCAAGAGGAGGTGAAAGACTGATTTTTAGAGCAGTGCTGGAAAGAGAGAGAGAGAAAGCGAAACCTTTCTATGCCAAAGAATCCTTGCAAGTTGTTCGACGAAGCTAAACAAAGGAAAATAGTTCTTTTTACCAGGGTTGCTAATTTGAGTAATTATATCCGAATTTCTGTGTGTGATAACGTTTAAATAAATCCAGAGGAAATACATGCTATCAATCATCATCATGTATGCTATTTCGATAGCTATTCAATTGCTCATGGTTTTTTAACTGCAGTTCAAAATTTTGTCGTTTAATCCTGAGATACTACAAGGCTCCTGTGTCCTTTAGATCTCAAGAACGCAAAGACAAAATGTATTGGGAATGTGCCTTTTAAAAGATTCGACTATAAAAATTGAGTTCTTCCAGAGATGGTAACTACAATGGGTGAAAAAAGTAGTGCCCCCATTATTTGTAAGATCCCTATGAATCCATATGAAGATCCCGCAATGAAGTAGAGATATCCGTAAGGGGAATTTATATGACTTATATTTGATGGCGATAAAGTAGAAATCAGCTTTTGGCAACACAGGTTCGAAGCACTCTGAAAATTGCCGGACTACTAGTGCATGAAGAAGTCGCTGCTTAATTGTCACATGCGGTATCATTTGTTTTTTCCACGCTCCGCTCCAATCCAAAAGTCCCACATTATCCCTAGGACTCTTGCCGCTGTACAGGGTGAGCCCTGAGCCCCATGAAATTTAGAAGGAAGGGGGGTCTAAAGTCATTTCTTTTGACTTCAGAGCTTTTACAACATTTCAGGTATCGATCTTAATTTGCTCAAAAGTTATACACAGTAAGGAAAAATAACCTTTTTTTTTTACGTTAATATAGGAAGTAAAACACGCAGTAACACAAAGCTGTCGGCTACTTTTTTTATGTTCGTTGTCAAATGGACCAAATTTTTGTGTTGAAAATCTGCCACCTCTTTGAAAATTACACGTCAGCCACCAGGATTTAACCTGATTCTCAACAGTGGTAATCTGATGCGCTATAGCCCTTCGTAAGTCGCATCCTTTGAATTGGACTGCATTTTGCAATTTGCAACTATAAATTCTGGCCCGGTTTAAAAACAAAGCACGTGGCATTAGTTTCCTTATGCTCATAAGTGTTTTTTCAGACGAGCCAGAATTTATAGTTCCAAATTGCAGAATGCAGTCCAATTGGGGGAGGAAAACAAGAGGAACTAAGTTCGCCGCAGGACACTTTCGTGCCCCAATCCCCGATGTCTCAGCGTAACTTACGGCTTGAGTCGACTCGACACAAAGTTGTGTTGAGCAACCAAAGTCTTAGGATTGATCTGACACAAAAGATAGTAACACAACTTCGGTAAAAATTGGCAGTAAGATCTGTGTTCCATAATACAATAGACCTACAGCCGGCTGTAAGATTCCCTATAGCTTCTATATCCGGCTATATAATTTCTTATAGCCTTTTATAGCCGATGACAATAAAGCTACAGCCAGGCGATGAACTGCATAGCATGGCGATAGGAACTATAGACCGGCTGTATAATTTCCTTCGCTTTCTAAACCCAGCTACATTATCGCCTTCTACATATGCCGGCTTTATGAATTCCTACGGTAGGTATTTTGAAACGCAGCTCCTATTACTAATTTTTAGCAGGGTTTCAATTGATCTGACACAAAAAAATAACACAAAGTAACGCAGATTAACAATAAACGCGGAAATTTTTAATTATGTACATAGAGTACATAGAGTCGTAATGTAAGTGGGTGAGCTGGCGCCACTTTTAAGCATTTTCCAGGTCCCGAATTCCGAGACTCCTGTGTGACGCCGGGTCACTTTTTCGATACATAATCGATTGTTTGCGACAAACGGGTACCCGGCCATCCGATGTAAACAAAGAAGATATAGGGATTACCACGTATTCTGCACCGCCATCTTGGATCGAACTTATATCGAAAGTGACCCGAACTCGGCGCACACCGGGCTTGGAACTCGTCGAGCAGAACATGGCGCCAGCTCTCCCATTTACATTACGACTCTATGTACCTACTCTATGATTATGTAGGTACGGTTGATGCCTGGCGCCGATGGTGCGGGACTTTTGACTCACCCTGTATAACTCTTAAACAAGTTAACAAGGCCACTAATACGTATGAAATAAGTCATTGGAATTTGCCGAGTGTGCTTACATTTAAACTGAAAGCGCAGGAGGAAAATGCATGGAGGCTTATTTGACAAAACTACCTGTCGTGAGCTTCCTGCACAGTTCGCTTCAGCTATTCAAGAGAACAAAAAGCTTAAGTTGCGTTAAGCTTTAGTTTTACACGAGAACTTCCCCAACCTCATCGTAAAACGACGCGTTGGTATACCTACCATTCTTAAGTATTTGTGAGGGATGATCCTTGTTCATCGAGCAATCCTCTCTTGGAAAATAGTTTGATACCTCCTCCTACGGAAAGTAAATTAAAATTAAACAAGCAGGAAGCACTCTGGAGCGTACGCACATAAGAGAGACGCTCATTGGTCAGAAGAGTCTCAAAGTAAAAATTGCAATTACAAAGGGGGAAAAAATCTATAATATAAAATCATTACAGTAATGTGTAACGCGGAACGTGTTTTTGCCTGGTAAGGTAATGGTCAGGGTTTTTGTATTAATTTCACCAAAAATGCATGTACAGTTCACTGAAAAAAATAAAAAAAACACATTGGATCTAACACAGTGCGGTCACTGGTCGGCGCGATAAGCATAGCGCCTACAAGAGTGCAATAATACTTCACGCATTGCGCCTAGCGCAGTGCGGTCGTTGACCAGTGCGAACAGCATATTAGCGCCTACAAGACTGTAGGAATACTTCACGCATTGCGTTTTCAATGCGTGCTTTCATCGTTGAAAATTCGTGATATTTCGGTGCCGGATCTATCGCGGTCCACAGTATTTCCGACCAGTGTGCATCCTGCAATCCTAAGATCGAGGGATTAGAGAGATTTTGCACCCCTAAATGGTATCTCAGTCTATTGAGTCGTTGATGTCGAAGCTCGTCCGTCTTTTTCTGATCGACTATCGTTAAAACGAGAACCTCTCTGTACACTGGAAACAAAACACATTGGATCTAGAGTCCAGACTCTTGAAAACATCGACAAGAAAAAATTCTCTTGAATCAATCGGATTTTTGCTTAAATAAAAAACCAAGCCTCTTAATTTGAGTGGATTTCCTTTTGATTTAAGCTTAAATCTTTTTTTTTTTTTTTTTTTTTTTTTTTTTTTTTTTTTTTTTTTTTTTTACTATTTCAAATACCACACGAGTGGTAATCCTTACGCTTCCAGACAGATCCCATCCCCCCTCCGTCCCTACTGCGTACCAGCCCGAGGCAACCGTTGTTTGAGACCATCAAACTCGGGTCACCTAACCGGGGATCGAACCCGGGACCTCCTGATTATAGAGCCAGCGCTACAACCACTACACCACAGGAGGCCGACAAATCAAAATAAAAAAAAAAAAAATCAAGAAATTAAAATCTGATTGAATCAAGAGTCCGTTTTCATGTCAATGTTTTCAAGAGTCTGGACTCTCGCTCCAATGCAATGTGCTTTTTTTCCAGTGTTGAATAGACAGTGTATCTGATATTTTTTATTTTTTTTTTCATGTTTTCCCTCTGAAAATATTTCGAAAATATGCTGGACGTATATTTCTGTTGGACCGAAGCAAATAATTTTCGTGAAAGCTCTCTCTCTCTCTTCCTCCAATCCGTTCTTCCGATATCAAAACTTTCATGAATTCAAGATGGCGACGCAACGTGGGGCTGAAATTGCAGCAGAATTATTCGCGTGCCGATTCTTCGCCGCGCTGTAGCGCCACTGATGTGAGTGAATTTTGGAGAGCAAGGGGGTCGGATTGAAGATGGATGCACCAGTTTGCATTTTAAAGTGAACGCAGGAGATTCATGTACATCGTAACAAATACTGTGAAATTCTTCTGACTTGTCAATACTGTTCACGAAGTTAAAATAAAAGTGTTCGTTACCCTTAGGAACTTGAATTCCTAGAATTAGCTTAACCTTTCCCCCTCCCTGGAGATCTGATCCATCCAGAATTCATGAGCAGTTTCGAGACTTTCTTGATTAGGTATGCCCTGATATTCGAAGGAAAGAGGCGTGTCTCCTCCCTTAAATAAATTTTGGCAGTGTTAGATACCCAGACCCCTGCATAAACTTTTGAGGTATCATTTTTCTCTGTCAAATTCGACTAATACAACATACCCTTTGAAAAATGTACAAATCGACGGTGAAAGTCGGCAATCACATAACTCGTTTGCGGTGTCGGAAAATCTCCGCCTCTACGTCATTTTTTTAAAGGAGAACAAATTGATATTATTTCTTGAAGTTTTTGCAGAATTTTCTTCGCATTGAGAAGAAAAATCATGACAGTTTTAAAGAATTGCCGTTGAGTAGTTTTCCATTTAAAAAATAAAGTACCTATGACAGGAAGTCTGCGACGTCGCAAACCGAGTTATGTGATTGCCGACTTTCACCGTCGAAATATCGGTTCAAAATTTCATTTCTCAATATTTGCTCTGAAATTTCCTTCTTTTTTGCAGTATGTTTGCTCCTGCTCCTAAAAATGTACTGAAAGGTCATAATACCAAGAAATATTGATTGTTATCTCCCATATTTAGTCATTAAATTTCACGAATAAAGCATATTTTTTATTCTTTTAAAGAAGATAAAATGAGAAGGAGGAAAAGAAAGAAAAAGAGAAAGAAAAAGCGTGCAAAAAGAAGAAGAAATAGACGCCTTTGAGAATTCACGGGTTACTTTCCCTAAAAATAGCATGGAAAGATGAAGGAGATTCTTCAATCGTAAAATGAGAAAATCGAGAGATATTTGCTGTTGGATATTTACCGGATGCGTAAAATAAATGTATGCATGAGATTGAATTTGTTCATTATTTAATTTCGTCATTCTATTTACAATTTTTGTTACACATATTTACAATTATTCTACACTCACATGTTATGATACAATTTATCGACGGTGGAACTACCAGACCACGTATCTCGTTAATTTGCGGTGTTTAAAAATCTTCGCTCCTCTTTTATTTTGTTTTTTTAGGAGAATAAATCAATGTCATTTCTCGTAATTTTCACAGAGTTTTCTTCGCACAAAAAAAGCAAGGAAAGTTTTCAAGAATTGACGTTGAGTAGTTCCCCATCTAAAACATGAATTACTTATGGCAGCAAGTCTACAACGTCGCAAATCGAGATACGTGGTCTTGTAGTTTCACCATGGTTATATACTTTTCATTGTATGGCATAATGGTATTCCTAGTCGTAGCAGAGTCAATTTGTGTGCCTCTAAAAAAAAATACAGAAGATATACATAGTACATGGATCACGATTTTTTACAAAAACGTTCAATGTTGAAATGCTAGGAAATAGGCTGCCAAAAAAATTAATCCGGCTTCACAGCTGGCTTTTTTGTCAAAAAATGTCAAAATTTGGGAAACAATGAATGCAAGTTAGGTAAATTTTGTGTATTTTTTTTTTGTCAATAAAGATTAAATGACAATGATAAATTTTAACACTTACTGAGGTGTTACCAAGGTGACCTTAGTACACATCCTTTATGTACAAAATATATTTTTATTGATACATTTTGAGTCTTCTGATATGGGACTCTGCTACTACGGCTTTAATACTCACCGCTCCTCTAGGATAAAATTAAAAAAAAAAAAAAAAAAAAAAAAAAAAAAAAAAAAAAAAACTGTTTAAAATACGTTCAAAAGTTTGAAATACATTTGATTTAAGCTGCTTCCAGAATAATGATGTTTTTGCTAGCATAATCCCTAGTTGAGAAAAAAAAATTCATCGCTTTTGACGATAAATCAAAAAAAAATAATTTAATTCAATCTATAAGGGCTGTAATGTGCCACTGATTTACTCCTGAGAAAGCTTCAGGTGCGTAAAAGTGTGTATGAAAAAGTGGATAAGTATGCTTATACCTCGAGTATACTATATAGTATACTCGAGGTATTTCAAATTGGAGTTGTTGAGGATTTTAGGACTCTGCTACTATGACAATCCAACTTACTGTATAACGTATTGGAAGGGCAAACCGGGAAACTACATGAGGAAGTACATCCTAAAATTAGACTAATTACTGTGTTAGAAATTCATCAGATACGTATAATATAATGAAACAATCAATCACAGACTTAAGTAAATAGGCATGGGGTATACCTAAAAGGCACGAATGTGTTTACGGCGTTTCTACGACGAGACGATATTTTTTTACAAAATCGGAAGGCTAATTTACACTATCGCATTTGTATACAAACTAACATTACAAAAAAATTGGAGGGTAAGGAAGTCTCAGAAAAATACATTTTTTCACTTGCAAATATTATTGGATAAAATACTGGTTGGAATAAGAATAAGTTTTGCCTGAATCAAGAGCGCAAAATCGCATTTGGGAATTAATTTTTTTAAAATCTTTCCTTGTTTTAAAGTACACTTTTTTTTAATTGAATGTATCATCCACTGGCCATTTATCTTATTTTAAGTGAGACAAAACTATGTTCTCTCTAGAAAAAATGGTTCTAATTGAGCGCTGTAAAGGCACTGTAATGGCAGTATTGTCGTAGAGCATATTTTTGTATGAAAAGGTTTTCTTTCTGTGCACAAAAAGTAAATGAAATGGAACGAAATATGGTCGAAAATTATACACACAAGGCATAGGAAAATTAATTATAATCACCGCTGTCCAAAAAAAAAAAAAAAAAAAAAAAGTTCGGTCGTGTTTAAGCCTGTGAATCTATTATCATAGAGGTATATCATAAAAGCTAGCTTTTTGGAGTAGAAAAGATTGGCATAAATTGATTTATTGTACTTCGGTAAGGCACGCAAACTTATACTAAAGTCAAAGTAAAGCGCGTAAAAAAATACTCAATTATGCCTCTCGTGAAAAGAGGACACCATTAAAAAATAATGATAATATTTTACATTGGTTTCGGGTACAAGTCTTGAGTCTGATCTGAGTAAACAATACAACATTATGGAAGCGTAATACTCGTGCTTATTCTTTTATCTTTTAAGGCCTTCTTTTGGAAGTTTTCTAAACTGTTTCAGCTCGTTAAAACTACGAAAGCGTTATGAAGAGACAGGGTCTAAATAAAAGATTTCTTGACACTGCATTAAGAAGATATTTCCAGTCTCTTCAAATAGGCCTTTTCAGCCTCTTCAGCTTCTTTTCAACAAAGACACGTTAGGGCCAATGATGTGCATGTCTTGTTGCGTCGATAGTAATTGAAGGCACTTTGAGCCGTGGAAGCGACTTGGCGAGATAACCGGGCAGCGGTAACGGCGCGGCGTGACGGCTAGACCTCGGATTTCTGATATTCAGTCTCTCCATCTCCCCAAATCCTTCGATTTTCTGTGACCGGAATTGCCGCCACCAAGAATCCTGATATTATGATCCAAAATCCAGCCAGGTAAAATGAGTAATCCCAAATGTTGGTGACATCAAAAAACCACCCTGAAATAAGAAAATTAAAAATAATAATAAATAATAAAAAGTATCAACAATTTTGGTTGTACCGGGGTGAAGTTGGGGATAATGAGTCTGCTGCTTTAAGCGAAACAGCCAAATATAAGTAGAATTTCCAAGGAGCAAGTCGTGCAAAAATTACTTTTCCGTAAGAACTTTTATACTTTCAATGCAATTTAAATGATCTACTCTATTTAGTATATTCAGTCCAGGGCCGGATTAAGGGGGTGGCCACATGGGCCGTGGCCCATGGCGGCAAATTTCGCAATATATTTAAATGTAGGTATAAAAAAAATCGGATTCAGAACAAAAAATTATCAATGAGAAAAGGGGACAAAATCTCTCTTTCCCGAGTCTAATTTTATCGTTTTTCGGTGATAAAAGAGACAGCGTCTTTAATTAGTCGAGTTAAGAGAGGAACTAAACACGCAATTTGGCCGGGAGCTCAGCACAGAGAGGAATGATGACGAGGACTTGAGATGAAAAGGACAAGCCCTCGGCACGGCACGGTGGTCGACATGTAACACGTATTAGCGCCAACAAGACTGCATGAATACTTCACCCATTGCGTCAAACACAGTGCGGTCAGGAGCGGTTGGCGTGAAACGCGTAGCGCCTACAAGACTGCAGGAATACTTCACGCATTGCGCCAAACACAGTGCGATCAGCCCGGCGCGGCGCGGTGCAGTGGCGGACGTTAAAAGTATTAAACCACATTTATGTTTGTTCTTTCAATTTTTTGGTTCATTTCTCAAAAATGGAGAACCTTGTTTACACAGAGATATGTTTACGGAACTTAACTTTCCCGCAAAGTTCCGTGAAATTTTGCTAGTAGTGTTGACAGGGCTTTCGCAAAAAATGTAGCCGACCCGAGTAGTTAAACGCGCCTTATGCACCCCTCCCCCTCCGGCACGTTCACTTGATGGTTTTATTGATGTTCCAAAACGAATGAGAAGGGGGCGGCAAAATACAGGCGGCCCATGGGCGGCAAGTAGGTAAATCCGGCCCTGTAGTATCTTTAGTGCTCATTGACAATTAATATACTCTTATGGATTTTCAGCTTTATTTTACCTGCGAGCGGTGGTCCTAGAAGGTTGCCAATTCCTTGACATAGAAGCGTGAGGCCATAAGCAGTCGTGAACCTTTCTAGAGGAATTAACTCAACGAGAATGGTAGGCGTAAAAGAGAAATTCGACGCGAAGAATACTCCAAAACCAGCGCAGGTGAACACCATGGCCCAATAATTAGTCGTGAAAAATGGCATCAGAATCAATGTCACACCACAACCGACCAAACATGCCGCGTAGGTTTTCGTGACATTCATCCAAGGATAATCACCTGCCCAACCGAGGAGCACCTGAAACAAAAAAATAATTATTTCTTCATATATTGGCTGCGGCAACACTCATAAGGGAACATATTGATCCAAAATTCAGAGACACACATGCGTAGTCGCTGAAGATCTCGTTTTATATTATTTCAATCAATATTTTTTTTAAAATTTTTTTTTACTATTTCAATTACAACACGAATGGTAATCTTCCGCTTTCATTTAGGGCCCTACGCCCTTCAATCCCCACTTTACAACCAGCCCGAGGCAATCGTTGTTTCATACTATCACACTCGGATCGTCTAGCCGGGAATCGAACCTGGTACATACATCGGTCATAGCGCCAGCGCTGCGACCACTACACCATGAAAGGCCGACACATTCAATTTAAAATAAAAAATAAGTCAATAAAATATTAAATATTTAACAATTATTTTTAACATTAAATAAATCTGAGTCCCTTTGACATTCAGTAAAATCTGAATTTGTTTAGTTCAAAAACAAAGAAGCAAGAAAACAAGTTTCCCTCCAATAGGCACGACGAAATTTTTTCCTATTCCCCCCCCCCCTCAGTCATTTTTAACGAGGATGAATTCGAAAATCTCTTTTTGAGTTCAGGGTGATATTATACTGCATTGGTGCTCTTCGCGTGTCTACACACAGAGAAAAAAGCCTCGTGAGTGGGACCCGAAATTTAGGTCCTATGGATCTCTGAAGTTTTCGGATTGAGCATCTGAACACTTTAGTTCTAACTGTCGAGGTTCGGATCACAAAAATGAAATTTCAGTTCTTACATCTAAAGTACTTCACATGTGAGAGCCGAAGTTTTTCGGATGTGAAAACCGAAGTACCCTGGTAAAAATTGGCGATAGGAGCTGCGTTTCAAAATACCCTAGGAGTTCTTATGGCCGACTGAAGAAGGCGATAGAAAATCATACAGCTGGCTGTAGAAAGTGGAAAAAATCATACGGCCGGGCTACACGAAGCGATAAAAAATTAAACAGCCGGGCTATAGTTCCTGTCGCCGGGCTTTACACTTTATCGCCTGGCTGTTGCTTTTTCGCCATCGGCTATAAAAAGCTATGAGAAATTGTGTAGAAATTCGTGTGCTTTGTAAATCCTTAAGTTTGCACGGAATCACCATAATATTAATAAAACGCACATTATATTTTCCTTTACTACATATTTGTTTTCATCAATTAAAACGAGAATAATCCATACGGAGTGTACACAAATTTCAAAGTCATGAGTTGAACAACGCTGACTCCACGAGATTAAATATTAGCGCCTAACACAAAGCGGAGCGGCAGCGCACTGGCGCCTACAAACCTAACAGGGATACTTCACGCATTGCGCAATGCGTGAAGTATCCCTGTTAGGTTTGCAGGCGCTGGCTGCCCGCCTGCCGCGCCGCAGCGTACCACGGCACTTGAAGCGACTATTTCACACCAGAGGTATTGCACAGTATCATTCGAAATTGAGGGCGCTCCAACATATTAGGAATGTCAGGCATCCTTCAAAAGTACGGAGCTTTCCTCGCAAAATAAATCAAGATACTACGGCCCAAAAAGAGAGCGGTAGTCCAAAAACTCACTAAGTCCTAGCATCCGTAATTGGTAACGTTTAGCATACACTTTATCGTCAGGCTGTTGCTTAATCGCCATCTGCTATAAAAGGCTATAAGAAATTGCGTTGCCGGATATAGAAGCTATTGGAAATCTTACAGTTGGCTATAGGTCTATGGTATTTTGGAACACAGATTCTACTGCCAATTTTTAGTAGGGACTTCAGATGTACGAACTAAAGTTTCAGATGTGCGATCCAAACCTCAGCAGCTGGACCTAAAGTGTTAAGATGCTCAATCCGAAAACTTCAGAGATCCATACGACCTAAACTTCGGGTCCCACGCACGAAGTTTTTTTCTCCTTGCAATGTAATTTACGTTATTATCTCGATTGCGATTTTTCAACTTTAAAAAAAAATTGCTTAAAATGCAATGTACGGTTTTTTGAAGGTTTGATCTGTTCGCCTTCAGTAAAATAGAAAGATTAAACTTAATGTAAAGAAGTCATTAACTGAGGATCGTATTTTTCCTCCATTTTTCCGCATCAATATGTATAATCCGTCTCATGATAAGTGAAGTACAATTTTAAAGCTATAAAATAACTCATCATATCACGCCGTTCCATTAATTACTCACAAGCACTTAGAGATTTGTTTCGAAAACTCTCAGCTACTCCCCGCAAGCGGCCGTACCGAGCAAAAATGATAGCTCGGCTTTAAAGAGAGGTAATTTCCCCTCCC